TTTTTTCACTTCGGAGACACCGATGCACGCAGTTTCTTCACTTCAATCGCACTAGTTTCGATCTTGTCTTCCATTTTTCATCATAATCTGGATTACCCAAAATTATCGTGAACTGTGCCTTTAACAGATTTCTGGTTGAGCTAATAATATAACGAAGTATTCTATCCCATGTTTTTGATTCATGGCATATCCACTTACCCAGTAGTCGAGCTTTCGTAGAGTTTAGTTTTTTTTTCACAAATTCGAATATTCATAAGAAGGATGTGACTACTGTTATGCGAGCCCCTCACTTTTATTCTGTCTCGTCAACGCATCTTCACTAGCAAATTAAAAGGAGGAGAAAGTTGGGAGATCCGTGTACACAAACATTCCAGCCATTCAGAAGGTTCCCGAAGAAGAAGAAACCTATACCTGTTATAGAGAGCCAACGCCGGTTGCCAAATTCTCCATGAATCAATGTTAATTTTCAGGGTGTCATTGTAATCCTTTGGAGTCCATACAAGGTATTCATCTATCCATGTTGCCCATAAATTGCCATGGACCAGCATAGTTTGCTCATGTTCATCCTGAAATCGTCACAAGACAAAATTCGCAGTCTGAGGATTTTGTATTACAGTAACACCAACCGAGAAATAGAACAGGCATAAGCGAAAGAGGAAGACTGTTCACATAAAAGTTCATCGATAAAAAATAAAAACCGTGATGGTAAATAAGCAGAGTAAAAGATGGGTCGTATCGCGTTGTACGGTAAGTAATCAAGTCTCAGGGCCCGGATTACTGTACCACGACTTCCTGGTACTTATAAGGCCGACTAAAGCAATTGATATGGTTTGTTATCAGACCCTATGCGAATTCAACGTTCCCACTTGATTTTAAAGGGTAAAATTCATAGAAAATCGGATATATCGACAATAATCTATCTGGAAACAACAATCTGCCCTTTTCAAAAGTATCACTAGCATCACTACGCCTTATCGGCTTTCCAGAGAACATAAATTATTGATCTGATCCCTTTAGCTTCACCTTTGTAGAAAGACCCAAAGGCAGCACTTCTCTCTAGGGGGTTCGTAAGTCTTCCCGAAAGTTCCTTCATAGTAAGATTTGGCAGTTTGCTAAAAAAAAACGTTGATGAATGGGGAACTCCATTGATCGACTTCTCTTTTTGAGTGAATACTAGAAGGTACGAAACACTTCTCAAAATCAATCCGAGTATTTTTGGGATTGGTAGAATGAGCAGAATAAGGTTTATTGCAATTGGAAAGGTCCGAGCTATTATCGTGCGACTCCAATGAGCAACAGCTTTTAGAAAGAATCTACAGCACAAAGACGATTGTTTATGTGACTTACCACTTTTTCTACATGGCTTATTCCCAAATAAACGCTGACTTGTACCGTAGTCGATTCTGATTTCACTGGTCGATGTCGGCTATTGTAGTCTTTCATGAGCGTATCCTCAAGCTTCTTATTGTAGTCTGGATTTTGGCAGTTGCATAGGACCAGGAACAGAACTAAATATACTGCTTACACTGTTTATTTACTGGAATTTAAATCGACACCCAAAATTAACACCGGCAATCCCATTCTTTCTCCATATCCATCTGTTGTGCCCTCTAAGTTGAGGAGCCGTCCTCAGATCACACCGTGTGAGAGTTACGGTAAACTTGAGGTATTTGGACTAAAATCAAAGCAAACACCGGGGCATCTGTGAAGTGGAGCTCTGGCTCCAGCGAATCCTTCTTGATGTTGCTGTCGGTTATAAAACAAAACTATCAATACCATTAATAGCTCCAGACAGTTTTTTCGTGCTGTTGAGGTTGGAGATAAGGGATTTGCGACCAACACGACTCAGATAATTGGTAAGAAGAGCTAATCAGGAAAGCGCAGTAGGCAAGCTGTCCCTGCCANTATACCGATTCACGAAGTCTTCCATAAGCAATATGTAGACCTTCTTTCAATCCCCTAGAAATCCCCCTGCTATAGAAGGAAGAAACTTTGAAAAACTTGGGAGAACCTGATGATTTTGCTAGTTCCTAAAGAGCAGAAAAAAGTCGAATCGGAGTGTCAAGCAAGGACAAATGGAGCCGTTACATCAAAAATGGTACAAGATCAAATCTTCGAGAGGATCTTGATACACCAGCCAATTCTGCCATTCTTGCGGATGGGGCAAGCTGACGACAAGATAATCAAAAAGAGCAATAAACTCTTCTTACAGCTTATTCCGCACGATGCTTGAAGGGCACAAACACAAATTAGAGCTAACATTAAGAATTACATGAAAGCCGACGCACGGAGCATTCCAGAAACCAGCAAGCAATCTCCGAACACTTTACATTCCTATCATTGGAATGAGTAAATCCTTGGACACTCTCGAGACGTTCCAGACTTTTAAAGTCTCTGATCTTAGAACTTCGATCGGTTAGCAGGACACTAGCAATTCCTCAGCCAATCAAAACTCTCAGACAGTCAATTTAAATTAGTTTCGAATTAATTAAAATCAAAATCAATTTTGGCAAACTAATTTTCAAATAGAAACTCACCAGCCGGCCATAAATGCAGCACCATCCTGACTAGCTATGAAAGCGTTAGTCATCTCGTATTTCGTATAAACTAACTGTTAATGTTAACGTAAACAAACAAAGATTCATTGCCAAACCTATCACATACCGATGCCATAATACAATTAATACATATAACAAATTCAAAATGATGGATTTATTAACGAAAACTATTGTTTTACAATGCCTTATACGTATTTACTAATGAGGAGGCGCGATTACACGATTCGATTACTGGTTTGACCGGTATTAGCACAAATCAGACGTAACGCATATGTAACACAACGTATATGCGGGAAAAATATAATATTAAGGCCACCTAAAAAGGGGATTTCCTCGCATCACATTAGGATATAGAATCAAATCACTGACGCCATACATATCAGAACTGTAGTAGATTGAAATCTTTGTAAATTTAGAGTAGTAGGAAAACCATTAGAACGTTGTGGGTGAATCGATGAACGAGTACTAGAGTTAGCTTTCAGTAATTTCTAATTTTATTAGAGTAAAATACTGGCCACTGAACAATTTGTGGTTTCGTAAAATCAGTATGAGCTCAAGAACTCGTGAAGTCGGTTGGGGGACCACAGACGATCTCTGAACGAAACAACGAATTCCCGCCTTTTCTAAGCCCATCAGAGTCACAGACTACTAGAAAGATGTTAGGTCAAACACTGTAGCATTCGAATGAGGTAATGTTTCTAAGCTTTCATATTCGAAGCTCTCGTTGGACCTCCGAGGCGAACGGGTTGGAGGCCATCGCAGAGCCAACAGCTAATCGACTCCACTGTAGATCGAAAGGATCATCAGCACGTGGGATCGGGGCCACCGGCACAGGATCCCATTGAATCGACTGTCCAAACACATCCAAGGCTGGTTCAGTTCCAGAAGGGAAAGACTAAAGGTTCACACACAAGATGAACGCGTGGAACGATTCACAATGAAAAAAATCACACTAGAGCCAAACCGAAGAAATTCAAGTGCTAAATGCGGAATGATTAACTCACACTACGAACCACAACGTCTTTTGCCGGAAGAGGTGGGGGAGGGTGAGCTGGTGGCGGACCACTAGCTACCGCACTGTCAAAGAGAGAATAGTTCGAAGCATCGGGAGCTGCTAAAAATAAATATCCAAAGTTGAATATAATATATGAATATAAATACTATTAGTTTCTAGTGAGACACCCACCTTGCCAGTTATGGGCTCCATTTGTAGAGGTAATTGTCTTATCCAGTGCAGGTGACATCTAAACAAGCGGTTGCTTAGGAATTTATCCCAAATTTCGACTATAAAATAGTCAAAATAACAGTATCTGGTGACAGCCAATGCATACAAACGAGGCTATAGCGAATAATCATTGTCCTTTTCCTGATTGATGTCTCTTAGAAATGTTCACTATGGATTTCTTATCCGTTTTTTCGTTCAGAATTCCGCTGGGAGAAGAACTTTTAAACCATTAGGCATGCAACCAAAACAGGCACAACTCTATTTGTATGACTGGTTAACCGAAATTGATTACCTCATAAGGAAACATTAGGAATTGAGTAACCAATGCCCCTTCACTCGCAAAAAAAGAAGCAAGTGCTGGTGTGGAATTTTAATTCAAACTGAATGCATACCGGAGATGGAGAATTGATCGTAAGCGAGGTACGAAATGCATCTTCCAACCACTCGTCAGCTTTAGATCGAGAAGATGATTGAGATGTAGATACTGCTGGATCCCTAAACTCGTAATTAACTGAAAAACTCTGTTTTGGCGTTGACACATCAAAGTTTTTCTTTATCGTACTCCGCATCTCACCAATTAGTGTTGACGTTGATCTGCGACACTGTAGTTGGACCGTGAAATCCATTTGAGAGCGAAGTAGGAGGATGTACAGTACTAGTAGGCGTTACAGAAGCAGAAGTTGCCCATTGTCGATTAGCAGCAAAATCGTGCCCGACACCACGTTGGGCTATTTCGGCAGGTGAAGTTGTTGTAGGATTCACTCCAAGTCCAATCAAATCAAACACATCGGTCGACGGGGCGGCAGCTGATGCAACTAAACAATCTTAATTCGAGTTCGTCATTAATGATAGTAGTCATATCAGTTTTCAGAGTAAGCTTCAGGAAAATCACTTCACATGTTTCTCGATCAAGCGGTTACATCGGCATTTTTGGCGTTTGTTAATCTCCGTACAACTATTTGTTGATAACTTACTTTGTAAGCTTTGTAAAAAGGGAAAAAACCGATGGTTGAAGGATTGTTCTACACCATTCACGAAGCCTGAAAAGCGCACTCTTTGTGCTTCAAAAGCCGCCCAAAGAGCACACCAGCATTTGGCGCTTAACGAGGACAAAATTCTATACGGGTGCCCTCTATTAGAAACAATATTTGATCATATGGTACGCAATTTGTTCATAAGCCTCGGATTCAAACTCAGCATAATCGTTAATTTTTTTTTGCTAGACAATAAATTTAGCATTTATGTGATTCCTATCAAAATATGAATTCATGCCAGCTAATTGTATTATCAATACTTGAAGAATCTATGACATCGATTCTACGAAAGAAAATATATTTAACGAAAACGAATCAAACTAATTTCAAAAGCTTACCTGGATAAGCAGCAGCAGCTGACAGCCTTCCACTTTCACCACCGAAATGAGTAGTTCCAGTGAACTGAGAAGCTTGCGGGACAACGTTTTCTTCTTCACCTTCATAAATTGGTTCGTTGTGAAGCGACTGTTTACCATACACCTGAAAATCAATCGAGTAAATTAAGTAATTCAGCTCTGCACCACATTTGCTAGATTGGTAAATGAATGGAAAAGACCCGAAACTTACCATTGGGAACGGCCTATACAGTCTGAGGCGAAAATTCGAATGCGCTCGGCGAATCTGTTCCGCCTTGGTGAATACCTCATCTTTCAGGTCATCGCCCAACTTGTATGTTAACGCTGTCATGTACTCAATATCGATGAGCTCCGCTAAGCGAGCACGAAGCATGATGGGTGAGGTTGGCGATTTAAAGATAAAAGAATGTGTAGTAGATGCTAGAAAAGTCAACAAAAACGCCAACTACGCACATGTTTAACGTTGAGAACTGGTTCCGAACCGATGATCCGCTTACATAACACCTAACCCATGAATAACAATTTCCGTATAATGGCTGTGCACAGATCTATGCGTTTAGGAGCGTCACAGTTTCTATGGAGCTCAAATACAAAGAANATAAAATAGGCTCCACCACAGAAAAGGTGAACTGAAGGACGTAAAAAGTAATCTTCTCAAGATGTGCAGCTGATGATGATTCTGGCGCTATCGGTGAGACATTGGTAATATCGAGGTGTTCATAACATCAAAAACCTAAGAACTAGAGACAACATCCGAAAAAAAAAACAATGGAACTAACCGCTGGATATCTATCAAGGCTTTGAGCATTGGTTCGTAAAGAGTAATTTCGTCGAAATTGTGCGGCTGATGATGATTCTGGCGCTCGGAGCGAACCCTGAAGATGGGAGATATTAGTGTACCATAGCTACCTTTGTGTGTTACAATCTACACAACCTTTTCATGATAGTACGGTCATCTAATTTTGAAATCTCTCTTTGAAACCCAAAAACAAAAAAAGGAAAGGAATAAGAGGGAAAAAGCCCACTCAATGAAGATAAGGAAACAATGAAAAGCAACTCATCTAAACACAACTCTTCCCAAAAGTGTTGGTATAGGCGCCACCCTGTATTTTACCAGAGAACATTTCCGAAACATTACAGCGTTGCCTGTTCGGAATTACCCCCGAAGCTAATGCTGCTTCGCAGTTTTCTAATTCCCTTTCCAGCTGCTTTTGTCCATTACTCTGTAACGACTCAAACAACCCCGAGAGAGCACTCCATAAGAGAACCGCCCGTCATTCAGGCAATTTCTGTATGTTTGAGAACGTCAAAGCGAGAGATTTCTGCTGACACCAGTAATGTCATACAGTTTGATATTCACCTGTCTTTGGAACAAGGCAGGGTTAGGAGATGGGCGAGGCTTTGCTATGCTTGACGAAGGCTGATGAGCAGAAGCAAGTGGGGCGTTGTTAACAATCGCTGACTGCGGATCCTGAAAAGCCCGTCTTTCAAATAAAAAGCGAAAATGAAGATGAAATGAGAATTCATTTAGCTGAATACCTGCAAGCGTTCGCTAATGGGAATTGATTTCCGGAATGACTGATAAGCCTGATTCGTTCGTTGTGCGTTAGTCGCTGCATCGCTAAAAGCTAACGACTTTGAAAAAGATGAGGATCAATAAGGTTCTGAAACGCCGACCCCTTATCTTCCCAGTTGGGATTGAGAGCTTTCTCGAGATTCTGCACGTTTTCTTCATCACGCTTTTTCTTTCTTTCAAGACATATAGAAAATGCGCATCCAACAGCATGAGAAAGACGTTCACCCTAAAAGGCAAACTACGGAAATGTCGAAGAAATAGGCGCTACTGTAACGAACTGATTCTTTTGTCGCATGGAAACCGTGACACATCCATCTTCTTGAAGTTCCATCTCTACATATGTATGCAAAGCCCTTGTCATTGTTACGATCTGGTGCACAGAAGGAAACCTGTGAAAGGTATATTAGAAACATAGCACCCGGCAGACTGTAAAGTTTCACTTCAATTAAAAACAACTGAAAGGCATATTTGCTGGGACTTCATCAAAACAATCTACGATTCATCGAGGCAATCTGTTTGTTCATTTTTTGTTCACTTCACGTCTTAACACAGCTAAACCTACACCCCCCCCCCTCCCTCTCCCAAAGCCACGTTCGAGAATGATCAAACTAAACGGTCTGGCTATTTCATGTCGCACGCATACGCAGCTGAGCCAACATCACCAAAGCCAAATTTACGGTTGCCAGTTGTATCTCTGCCAAGTTCGAGATGCACTTTCAAACAGGCAGGGCCGAGTAGTGAGCTGATAAACTTATCATTAGCGAACCCAAACCCCTCGAGTTTGATCATCCGATCGGATCCTTTGAAATTTATACACAAAAACATTTAACAAATATCATCAAACAAGTCTGGCGCCTTCATTGGCCCTGTGAGGAATTTATTCCAAACCACATTTCATGAAGCAAAAGAAGGCCAGGTCCCTTGTGCACTCGTTTCGAATGCAAATTACTAAGTTTAGCATGCGTTATTGGACGAACAAATGGGTTATGGGTTCAAGACGGAAGCTCCAAAATTATACTACTGATGCTGTGTAGTTTCAAATAATCTCGAAAAAAAAAGCCGAATAAAAAACGAAAAAAGCAAGAAGTATTATCTCACCTTTTCTATTGTTTGGTCGACAATCAACCCTCTATTATTTTCTTGATCGACGACACGTAACCCGTCTCCGGAAACATACAAAACTGCTTTTATAGGTCGTCTTCTATTGCTCTGGAACTAGTAGATTCAAAACCAAAGCTACGCTGTTTATTAGGCGGTACAAGTTTGCATTTGTATGAGAAAAAGTATCAAGCAGTAGAAACTGACCCTAAGCATTTTCAATGCTCCCTCACAAACTTGCATTCCGCGAGATTCATAAACTTCCACTGCTCCCAAGTACTGGAATTAGAAAGAAAGGATTAAAAGAAAAAGCAAATAATGTGCAATGAGTAATGGTACAAAAGCAGACCTTCACAGAAAAGTGACACAAGCCAGCTCTCACTGCAGCTTCATCAGGTTGCCAGTGTTCCTGCTTGTTACCACCTGCGCCATTTGATGTTGTTACAAGTTCCGAGGGGGTATTACTCTCAGGACTACGCCGTCCTCCTCGGCGGAAAGACTGGCGAATGGAACGCCGGAGACGGTCCATCGATCGTCCGAACAGCGAGCTTAAATTTCATAACTCAGAACGAATATGGAAAGACATAGAAATTACATCGTACATGAATATAGGGGAGACCTGGGTTAAGATCAAAAGAGAGGAAGGACTGGAATCTCAATGACATCACGAACGTACAGCCAGGATGAATAATGCCGCTTTAGCTAGAGGCCGAATGGCTTGTAGAGAGGTTCAGTGAAAGATTTCAGTTGATGCTATCTCAGCACAAGAAACTTAATAACAGTAATTATCAAAAGGGCAGTCGAAGTGATAATTGAGTGGGAACTCAACACTCTCAATAATCGTTCGTGCCTAATGAGAGGAAATACAATATAGAGATAATAGATAATACAGTGGAGCATTTAACTTTGCCTCGATTAACCATACCTCTTGATAGATAGCAAACGTATTAATTAAAATCTAGGCGAAATGGAATTCACTAGAATCATCTCACAATGAAATCTCCCCTTCGAAGTTGCTATCGCTAGCCTCCAAAAACCGATTTCGCCGAAATTTTTGTCCAAAAAGGCCGATATTAAGCGATCATTCCCATAAGCCATGATAAGAACAATATTTATGTTTGCTGAGATCCGAAATCGAAGAAAAAAGAAGTCATACACATTTATCATACAGATATCTAGCGTTATTACTCCATAGAAACAAAAGTCAGTGAAAAACGAAACATCAAAGGAAGCCCAAGCCTTTAAAAGCCATGAAAGAACTTGAGATCGATAGTTGAGAGGGAACAACTGAATAACTACTGAAGAAAGAAAGGTCAGAACTGGGAGGCAATTTGAAAAAGATAAGATTACTGCAACACATAAAGGACCAAGCAGATCAGCATAGATTTAGAAGCGTCAAAGGCTGTCGCTTTGCAAATGTTTTTCCAATACTTGCCAGGATATCTGGAAAATTTTTGTTTTTGGTGCCACAATCATAAGAAGTCCTAGTCGTTCATGACCATAAAGTAAAGAAAGAAACATTAGTCGGAACTGAGGGATGAGTCCTAAACACAATAATACGTCGGCAAGTGAGTATCTGCATATTTTTCTAAACACTTCGAACATCTACCTCATAAGCAACTCCCTTTCTCAGATTGGTTTACTTTTATACATCAGGTACCTGATTTCTTTATGATCAATAAAAAGTCGATTAATTATTTCTTGCATGCGGCGAGCAAACTATATTTTCCTGGAATATACGCAGTCACTAAATTTCTATCGCCAAACACACAACCACATATTCTTGAAATGGAAGGATACAGTTGGAAACTAGATCATTGCGTATATTTCAGGAAAAAAACGTTACTCGCAAGCCCAAATAAATTCATGAAAAACAGTAGGAGCGAATACACTTCCTCCTTTAGCAGTAGATTGCCTCATTGACTAATCGCCCTTCAGGCAAACACAAAAAAACCAACAACACTACAAACATAATTCAAGGAAATGGTATGGTTGACAAGCTTGGAAGAACATCATTATTATACTTGCTCGATATTTATGAGCCTAGCAAATAAGTGACTGCATATGTATCTTGGCATTTCGCACAATTACCTGAAGGCTACCTATCGATTATTCAAAGTGATTTATATTTATAGACCAGGCACCTGAGTATTTTATGGCCAACAGACAACTGAATAAATACCTGTTTTCAAAAAAAAAATGATAATATTTCTTTTGAAATATACGCAATTGTACGGTTGCCGAACTAATAGCTCCACGTTCACTCAGCAACGATCACACCTCCCTATTGCGATTTCTCATAAATTCTGAAAGGACTGCAAACCTATCCGAAATTCTCGAGATTCAAGGGGTTCCTAATCCTTTCTGTTCGTAGTGAAGAGTTTGATTGAACGGAAACACATTGGCAATGGTTTACTTGCCTACACATTAACGAAAAGTACTCAAACCATCTTCCACCTTTGCTTGAACGCAGGATTTTGAATACTGAAAAGTGAGGATGCTAACAAAATATGTTACAGGATTTCAAGGTATGAGACGCCAACAAAAGCTTTCAATTTCGGTTTAGATAGCTGTTGAGTAAGTGACTAGATGGCCTACCCTTTCGGATCAAGAAGGGAAAGGACGGGCTTTGCTTTCTTTCGCAATGCTTTCTCGTGCTTTTAAATAAAACCAAAACGAATGCATTAAAAATAAATGCACACCTAATGTTATGCAAATGATAATTCCCAAACCAAACTTGATGAAAAATTCGCTATGAAATAACGTGGTAGCAAAACCTTAGAACCAAAAGCAATCACGATTTTTTCAATAGAAGGTTCACGTGGAGACCGCCATAGGATATTTTTTTACGTGAACAACTATTACCTCAAACCCAAATCAAAAACTGTAAAAAGAATTGACAGATAATACAACTCAAAACATTTAAAAAAAAGAAAACATCCCGAACACAAGACGTAGCAGTAAAAATTATATTGACGTATGCTTCGGTGCAGTGTACGCACGCTAAACTGACGTAATTTCGCAGACGCTCAGGTGATTTGGGGCGCCTTAACTAATATTGTGTCCAAAGTACTTAAACTTTCTATTTACTTAGTATGACACCTACAGGGGTTGATATGGGGATGTGATGGGAAGAGATCCAGGAAAAAGATCAAGTTCGAGCCCTTTTCTGAATCTTCCTACCTCTTACCGCTGTAGTTACCCCATAGGATCTGATAATCACAACCCTACATTGGAAATGCAGATATTTGGTGGTGCTCTACTGGTTCCGCCCAAATTATTAGTTGTATCTGTTCTATCAACTACTTTGTAACACCTTTCAGACCAGGCTATACAGATGTCTGGTACTGGTTGGTTGTCTGGTACTTTTTTTACCTAATGGGGAACCCAGTGTTAGTCCAACCATGGATCCTGGCTCGGCGTATGCATAGCACCGGGATTCCAGTGCACAAGGTTAGGAGTCTACTGTTCCCATATTAAAAAGCTCCTCTGAACAATGGTCCACAACTTTTCGTCCCAGCAAATTACCACTTCAAGTGGGCTGACCACTAGGCATGGATAGATTTTTGATGGGATTGACCGAAGCCGATTTTCATGTAATCCATGTAGGAACTTACTGAGCGTCCTTCATAATAGTTTACGAGAATATCGAAAAACTTGGACTTAAAAAAGCTAGCTGTTAAGCTGAGCGAAATACTCTGGAGGCCGAGAGATAATACGGAGACTTGCGCTTCGAACCAATGAAGACACCCATATGTGAGTCGCATAGTAGCTAGTGATAAAAGCCGGGATGTTTACGACAGTATGACTTTCAGTCATGATCAGTACCGGAAGAACCTGCTCAAGTTAGGGGCAAACCCGGTCTTCATCAAAGAAGGTCGCGTAATCAATTTGATGGGATTACAAGGGTGTGACATAGTTTGAAGAGCTCCAAAGGAACCAGAAAGTAACTTAGAACTCTACTCATTATAAATTCATGGAGCAGTTGAGAAATTCCTCCAAAACGAGCGAGTCGCAAAGGAGTAATATCATAATACCATGGCGAAGTCAGTTCGCATACATTTTTGACAATCCAGAAAAACTATCGAAAATCTCGCGATATCCGAGTCCCACTTATTTTGGTCATTGCAGAAGCCTTTCGATGGTAAAACCTTTACTGAAGATGAAGACATCAAATCTAATAGGGTCCAGTTTTTTGCCAAAAAAAAAACTGGAAGTTGCGCGCGGTAGGAGCTATAAAACTATAAACTAAACTATCGCAAGGAGGGTAAAAAATAACCGAAAAAATTAGGTGTGTATTTTTGATTGAAATCCGTTCATTAGGAGAAAAAACCTTTTTCGTAAACGCTGGAAAATCGTGTTTGCTTTAAGAACAGTCCAATACTAGATCAAGTCCTAAGAGATGTTGTCTGTAAAATTCCACGTCCACTGGATTTTATTTCCCCGCAAGGTCACTGTAGGAAGCATATTCCCTTACTGAAGTTTCGATCAATTTTTCGCTCACTCGTTTTAATGGACTCAAGTAAAGATACGGGATAGGCTAGGGAGTCGTTTGGCTTCTGTGGGAACCGATCGTGGGTGATGTCCATGGTATTAATGCCGCGTTCTTAGCCGCTGCTCATGTATCATCACTTAGTTGGCCATGTCCGGAGAGAAAATGAATCGCATTTGTATTAAACCGATAATTCAATAAATACACAACGTGAGTAAAATATTGAATCAATAAATCGATAAGTGGTCAAGAAATGTAGTTAAAATAAGGAAAAATGTCCTGGGAACCACTTGAATAACTATTATTACACTCCGATAATCGATGCGAACATGTGTTGGCATCATCCCATTTTATGGATACTAAAAAGACTATTCGATGCAATGGAAAATGACATCGATTCGCTTCCAAAATGTGGAGCTATGAAGGAAATGAAGAATCGCTCATTGCAAAATTGCCAACGTTTTTTGAGGAACGTCTCAAATCGGAGCCATTTGTCTTTATAGACACGATGAAACGACCAAGGCGTAATAGGGGAGCCTGGCTAGAATGTGTTACACTTCATTCTTGTAGGAGTTCACTCTAAACTTTGATCTGAAAGTTCGAACCCTCGATCGATACTCGCCCAGGCCAACCAAGCCTTCTACCCCTTCGAGGTCGGCTAGTTGGTATAAAGTTTGTCTGGGAGGATGAAAGCACTGACTTGTCCATTGGCTGCCCAGTTCGAAAAGGAACGTGGGGCCCAACATAAGAGTTAGAAGGAAGAATACCAGAGAATTCCGATTCGAACCTTAATCCGATTAAAAGAGATCTTGAGCCTTCTCCTTACGAATGCACAGGTAATAATTGAAAATTGTTCCCAAGAGCTTCCTTCAGCATGAAACTGTTGCTTCCAAGTATGCCGTATGTGGCTGTGTCAGACTGAAAAGGCCCAAGAGCTCTTCTTAGTAAAGAAGTAAAAGAGGCCCAAAATAGTATTTATTTATTGTATGCCACACCCACAAACGGACAAGTTTCCACCAGACCTTGGAGGGACTGCACCATTCCTAATCGAGCCACGTATTGAAAATTCAAACCAAGTTGTGACCATGATGGCAGCCGGAGGCAATTTTTGGCTTTTTGGCTTACTGTAGTCGGTTCTACGCGATAGAACAGAACCAAGAGCTCGTCCGAGTACCCATGCCGTGCTGCTTATGTCAACATAATCTCGTGCAACCCCCTTTTTACTCTTTTTCTGAAGCTCTATACCTTCAGAGATAAGCCATTCTCGTGCTTTCTTCGCCTACACCCCAGATGGCTTTGTGAAAATTTGGAGAAGCGCCTCAATCGTGATTGTTCTATTCCTTTCACAGTGTGATAAACACAGCGTTATCGCTCATCTTATTCTCAGAATCATGCGGAGGAGAGAAGATGGATGTAAAGGTGAAAGTGTAACAAAAGAAGTTCGGCGTCCCAGGATGCGCCATGCCTTTCGCTATCCGAGTTCCGTTCTTCCTTTTTTAAAGATCATAGAGACCGTAAAGTAAAATGGTGGGCACATGTGTATGGTTGAATGGCTTGACCAACGTGCTCGTCCTCAAGAACAAGACGGTATTAATGAGTCTCTACTGAAATACCGAGCGATAGGTTTTCTAGGCAAAATTCAACTGGGATTTTGATACCCATACAATATTTCTGGCATCAACGCTCCCTTGGATTGCTCTATTTCACTACAATATAAAAATTTCTTAAAAATATGTAAAAAATAAAACTAAAAATGCTAACAAAACAGCTCTGACAAAAGTTTAAAGGTAATGCCAAAAGAACTAAAATTTCGTGTGAACACGCTGAAAAAGACTACAAATGGACAGCTAATGGGATTTAGTCGACGACGCGGACACGACGGCGACGACATTAATCCACAATCTGCTCATTCAGAGAAGAACACATCAACTAATGTAAAGGGTGTCCATAGAGATATAGGTAGTACTAAAAAGGTAGTGGAGTGGAATGTGATATGCGGATGGCTGTAATTGATCGAAGCATGTCAGCAGAAGGCTGCTGGCATAGTTGAAGTGCGTCGTCAAAGAGGTAGGAAAAACGCTTTTACACATAGGAAAGCATGAAGAAAAAGGAAAAAATGAAAAGTTGAAGTGCTCGACGACTGGCTTTATGGGCCGTAGTAAATCCAATTTCCATGTGGGACCTAGATTTATTGGGAACAATTGGAATTTTCCGTAGAGTTTTTACCATTCTGAAGCCCTCGACTACAACAGAGCTAACATGAGGCAAGCAAACTTCCAAAAACACACAAATTGCGTGATCTGCATCGGAAAGTTGGGTAGAATAACGATTGGCAAACTGCCAAAACAACTTCGCGATGATTCCACACAAATGTTCGCTAATTAGGCTTTTTTTGACGAACGACCGTGAAGTTTTGACGAGTCCACAAACGACAGAGAGAGATATGGGATGGGCCATGCTAATTATTTCCGTTTAAAAATGTGGACCTACTCCAATGGGTTATTTACTAATGACCTTCGTAGCTATCTGATGAACAAGAACTTTGTTTACTCTCTTTCATAAGCCCATACTAATAAACCGACCACAGAAGGATTGAGGTCTCAAAAATCACAGCCAAGCTGGTTGCACCCGGCACCAAAGACTAGAGCAATTAAGGAATCACCACCTTTAGAGGCACGCGATGCGGTAAGTACGACCAAAAACCTGTAATTTCTATCCAGGTCCTACAATTCTGTTGAAATTTATTGGAAGAATATATAACCGGTTCTCGTACATCTTCGTGGGAACCTCTGATATGAATCAGGCAAAAGGGGCAATTTCATCGTGCCGAAAGGTGATACAAGGTCGGAGCTCACCCAGACACATCAGGTACTATTCCATGCTTCTAAGGCTTTTGAATGGTATCAGGCTCGTCTGGGAATATAGAGATTGTAGACCTAATGATTGCCTGGTTCCAGGGAGCCCATTCATAGGCCAGTTACATGTTCATATACAACTCTGAAGGGAAATGCATGGTCGAACCCCGAAATGGAAATGACGGATGGTACAAAAATAACCCTGTATGGGTCGTTTTAAATCGATCGAAATGGCCGAGTTTTCCTCCTCTGTTACCATTGCTATCACTATAAAGGCTTCGGAACAGATGCATCAACAAACAGAAACCACCCAAGCAACATGTAAACAAATTTAGGGACAAAGTGAACTATGGACAGGTAAGGAAACAGGTTACTGTTTTTGTGGAACGGGTTGAATACGTGCAGTTGACCACACCTCTGACAGATTGAATCTACAGAATTTGAATCTAGTAGTTTATGTAGTAGAAACTAGTAAAAGAAGACGCACAAAAAAAAAGAAAAAAAGGAAAGAAGAAAAAGTGAGTGGGAAGCCTTCTCATGACGATCTTATTTTTTATGTTGTGTGACGGAGGTATCGGAACAGATACTTTTTCTTCATTGAATAAACTGTCATGGGAAAACCATGGAAGGTTAAAGAAATTCAGCGAAACTTCAAACATGAAACCAGTTTTTAAGAATATTTTCTGTATTTTTCAAAAGTTTTTCTGCATTTTCCCCCGAGAAATTCTAAAATTAGAGTCTAAGAGTGCTCAGGGAACTCCTTTATCCTGAAATTTTGATGTTATGCTAGCATTTGATTTTTGGGCTTTTTTTTTGTATGCTCTTTTGCTCATTGATTAGTTGCCCGAGAGCATGAAACA